GGGGGGGGGGGGGGGGGGGGGTGTTCATGCGTAAGAAAGACTATTTTGATTGAAGTTTTTGAGGTGGAATAAAAAGAAAAGCCATCTGAGCTTGTTTTCAAAGTGGATAATATCATACAAGGCTCACTGATTCTAACCTAATATCTTTCCTAATGTATAATCTTATCTTTATTTTGTACAGGAACTTGGTTTCCAGTTATTCAACAGCCTTGAATAATACGTAAGAGTTTACTTAATTATCCTATATGATATGAACTCATTTTCTTAACTTCACTTGTATGCAATGTTACTCAATACTATCTAGAGGTTTCTTGGAGTATCTACTCACAAAATATTTAAATGTATGCATTAGACCAATTTATATTTATCTTGAAAATTGTAAATAAATACCTCAAAATTGAAAAAGGTGGTAGAGTTATCTTAGGATTAGACTTTAAGTATTCCTTGTCCGTAGGTAGTGTTAAGGACAACAAACTCGCTACATATCTCCAAAATAGTATGATATTATTCACTTTGAGCATAAAGTTTTTATGCTTAAGGATTTCGCATATGAGAAAAGTGAGCAAATCTATAAAAAAGAAAAAAAGTTAAAAACACAAGTGAGTAGTTATCGTGTGAGAGAGTCTTTTAACAACCCTCCACATATCATAATAGTATGATATTGTCCATTTTGAACATAAGCTCTCGTGACTTTATTTTTAGTTCCTCAAAATGCCTCATACCAATGGAGATAGTGTTCCTTACTTATATACCCATGATTTCACCCTTAGCCAATATGGGACTCCAACAATCCTCCGCTCGAACAAAGTATCATTGAGCCTCCCGTCAAATAGTCATTTAACCATCTAGCACTATCCAGTGCCAACTACTACAGATCTCCACTATGACTACACATTTGAGACTCATGGTTAGGAATCACGACCTTCCACAATGGTATGATATTGCCTACTTTGAGCATAAGCTCTCATGGATTTGCTTTGGGCTTCTCCAAAAGGCCTCATTCCAATGGAGATAGTATTCCTCACTTATAAACCCATGATCATTCCCTAAATTAGCCAATGTGGGATTCCCTTCCAACAATCTTCAACACTCATAACTTCTTTGTTTGACATCCAAGGATTCTACGAACATGATTAAGTTAGGGGCATGACTCTGATACTTCTTGGTATAGATAGAAACTCTCCCACATATCTCCACAATAGTATAATATCGTTCACTTTGAACATAAGCTCTTATGATTTTGTTTTTTTGTTCTCTCAATAAGCTTGTTGTGTATGACATAACTTACTCGTGGAGTGTCTTCAAACTACAAAACGATGGGAGACTTTTATGTTGTTGGAGGATTCAAGATCTCAACACTAAAAACTACAAATAATGGGAGGAACTGAGAAGTCTGAGAAGGGTATCTCTAAGGCCAAGACTTACGAGAAGTCTGGGAGGAACTGAGAAACCACACCACCTTAAGATGTTTTAGCCTTGAAGAAATTGAAGGTCAAGATAGGAAAGGCCATGTTTGTTATTAAACTACGGTCGATGAATCCATTTTTCTCATTTTTATCGAAGAGAAATGATGGGAGATTATAGCTTTTGAAGAATGGGCTTTTGTCAATACCTACAGAAATACGAAAACAGAGAATGCAAGCCAATACCTAAACAGATGGTGGTTAATAAAAAGTTTTGCATGCTGCAGGTAAAGATCTAGTAAACTCAAGGATGAATCGTCAATTGATAAGTAGTTTGATCTCCCTTCCCCCAACAAGACTTGGGATCTCATATTCCGTGGAAGTTGTGAGTCTCGATAGGTAGAATTCGAAGAAGCTTCATCTTGAAGCAGTTCAAAGAATTTTAAGATTTAAAAAAGAAATCATTGAATTCACCTTCTATATAAGAAAGAGACAACCAATAGTTGTATTATATATCAGAGAAGTAAAATACAGATAAGCAACCATAACCATATAGGAGTATATGTGGATTAAGCAACGATCAAAGGTCTTACACCAAGAAGTTAATCATACAACAACATTATAATATGACAACCAATCTGCAGTACGCTTGGTCGAGTATCCGGTATCCTATGCAAGAACCAAGCATTTAGAGGTACATTCTATATAAGAAAGAGACAACAATGGTGATTAAATTTTGTTATATGTTTATAAAGCAACACACAATTTGTTGTCCCCAAACCATATATTCTAAGTCTACCCCGATTGTTTGTACTTTATTGATAAAGTTTTTTTTTTCTTTGAGTAGTGATGCTTGGTGTCTAGTGAAGGGTTTCCCTTGCCCAACTGAAGCTCGATGTAAGCAAAGATGATTTATGTTATGTTTAGTCATTCTGATCTGAATTGTAGACTTTTACTAGTAATTCTGGAGTTGTACTATTTATTTGATACATGGTTCTGATTAGACTACACTTGCAGATGATTCATTGTTCATAAATTGTGGAGGAGAAAGAATAAAGATTGATGGCAAGGAATACGAAAATGACGAGGCTTTGGTTGGCAAATCCAATTTTTTTTCTCCCTCTGAAAGATGGGGTTACAGCAGTACTGGTGCTTTCTTGATAAATACTGTTGACGGCCCTCCTTACAAAGTTAAAAGTAGCAATGAGTCTGTTTCAGGTGTCTATGCCACAGCTCGTCTTGCACCTATTTCGCTCAAGTACTACGGATTTTGCTTGCGAAGTGGCAGTTACAATGTGAAGCTTCACTTTGCTGAAATTATGTTTACTGCAGACGAAATCGGAAGGCGCATATTTGATATCTCAATTCAAGTGAGTTGAGATATATCCTTTACTACTATGTCGTAGAGTGGCCGCTTACTTAAATTCTAATATCTCACTGAGTTGATAGTTGACTTGTAAGATTAGTGAACAATGTGAATTGGGAATGTAGTAACATCATTCAAAGTCTCGGGATTGTATTGTATTGGGTATTTTATCTTTCGGGTATGAACAGAATTATTATTTTCTAATGGGGTTCATTTCCATTCCACAGGGAAAGTTGGTAAAAGAAAATTTTAACATAGCGGAGGAAGCTGGAGGGGTGAATAAGAGTTTTTTTCTGGAAGAGTCTAATATTCTAGTAACTAGCAATACTCTTGAAATCCACTTATATTGGGGTGGTAAAGGAACAACTGCGATCCCAAACGCAGGGGTGTATGGACCTCTAATATCTGCAATTACAGTGACACCCAGTAAGCGGTTTCTTCACTTTATGATGATGATCATTTAAGGGAGAGCTCTTTGCTTTCTACTCTATTACATAGAATCTTGCACCGTCTTTTCTCTTTCAGAGATTGATTCTATATCTATTTTGAACTGTTGTTATCTTCTTTTCCTATTATAGACTTTGACGTGGAAACTAGAGAGCTATCAGCTGGAGCTATTGCCTGCATTGTTGTTGGTACTTTTGTGCTGTTCGTATTTATATTGGTTGTACTTCGAAGGAAAGGTTACTTAGGTGGGAAGGAAACTGAAGACAATGGTAATATGAATTTAAAAAGTAATTTAATTATTTAGAGTTTATATCCTACTTTGGTAACTGTTGTATTTATTTAGTTCATATACTTTCAAAATATTTGTTTTTGCACGGTTTCCATTTTGTTCAGTAGAAGGGAACCAAATTTAGTGAACTCTGTGTTCTTTGAGGAATATTTTTCTTACTCGTGTCACATATTGGTTTGATTTCATTCCAGAATTTCGGGCCCTAAAGTTACAAACGGGTTATTTTAGCTTAAGACAAATCAAAACAGCAACCAACAACTTTGACTTGGAACATAAGATAGGCGAGGGAGGTTTTGGTCCTGTCTACAAGGTAGCTATGAAAATATTATTCTCTTCCTGACTTTTTCTTGCATCATCGTTTAATAACTGTACCTTCATCCCACATATCTTTTTACAAATGGTTTTGCTATCCAGAATAACATGACTTAATACGCCACTTAAAGAACATGTGATCTTATTAAAACTTAAGATCGAGAACATATTTGACAGGGAGTGCTCTTGGATGGTACTCCAATTGCTGTAAAGCAACTATCCTCTAAATCAAGCCAAGGGAACCGCGAATTCATCAATGAAATAGGCATGATATCTGCATTACAACATCCAAATCTTGTTAAGCTGTATGGTTGCTGTATCGAAGGAAACCAACTGTTGCTTATTTATGAGTATCTCGAGAACAATTGCCTTGCCCGCGCACTTTTTGGTAAGTGCCTTGCATATATCGATCATTCAATGTAGCTTGTTTTAACTTTTTCCATAATATAAGGTTTGCCATGTTCTTCATTTTAGGGCCCGAGGAGCACTTACTACATTTGGAATGGCCAGCAAGAATGAATATATGCTTGGGAATAGCAAAGGGGTTGGCTTTCCTTCATGAAGAATCTAGATTGAAAGTTGTTCATAGAGATATAAAAGCTACTAATGTTCTGCTTGATAAAAATTTGAACGCTAAGATCTCAGACTTTGGGTTGGCTAAGCTTAATGAAGAGGAGAATACTCATATCAGCACAAGAATTGCGGGCACAATGTCTCTCTCTATCTCTATCTTTCTCTATTGGAATCTACCAAAAAAAATATATTTTGGGATCCTACTAGCTTATCCAACTTTTGACTTCTTTCAGAGGTTACATGGCTCCGGAATATGCAACGAGGGGTTATTTAACTGATAAAGCCGATGTTTACAGTTTCGGAATTGTGGCCTTAGAAATTGCCAGTGGAAAAAGTAACACAAATTACAGATCACATGAGAAGTTTGTTTATCTTCTTGATTGGGTAAGTAATATTTTCACTTTCCTCACACATAAGAGTGCCTTTTACTAATGCTTTACAAAATGAAGTATTTTCTACCTGTTTATAGGCTTGTGTTCTACAAAAAGAAGGAAACCTACTGGAACTTGTTGATCCAAGTCTTGAATCAAACTACTCAAAGGAAGAGGTCATGAAGATGCTTCATATAGCTCTCTTATGTACGAATCTCTCTCCAACTCTAAGACCTTCTATGTCTTCTGTGGTTAGCATGCTTGAAGGCAAAATGGATGTGCAAACACCGAGCATCAAGCACGATGCAGTTGATCAAGATGCGAGGTTCAATGCCTTTGAGTTGTCGGAAGACATTTCAAGCCTTGTTTCAACATCCTCGCCAGGCATCCACACACTTGGGTCATCATGTATTGACTCATCTTCTTGTACCCATAACAAGAATGGGACTCAATACTATTCTTCAACAGGAAGTCTCCTCAAATATCAGTGAATCAAACCAAATGCTCAAGCTGGCCATCAAAGTTGATGCCATTTGTGATGATTCATAAGGATGATGATGATATTGAGACAATAGTCTCATTAGTTTTCATGGTTTTATTTTTAGTTTACATCAAGAGATTTTATATCCATTTTCATAATTTATAAACTCACGATCTTTCTATTTCTAAATAAATTTAGATTTTAGTCGCATTTTTAATAGATAAAATATTTAATTGATATCTTTAAAGAAAAACATTGATAGATAGGGAAGAGAGAAAATTATTAATTTATAAAAGTAGAATTTAATCGATAAATTATACGTCGGCATAAACTAACGTTTTTGACATTATGTGTATCACCATTAGAGTTTTAAATCAAATACAATTATTAATTTTTTTTTTATTGATAAATAGATTTATACCTTAAAAAAATTTAAAGATCTATTTTTTTATAACTCAATCCATTCATTTTAATTTTATATCTTAAAGTATTATTTTAATATTAATTTTATATCATAAAGAACAGTGTTGAGATTCCATGATTGATGACTTGCTCCTTGTTTTTTAGTTGCCTTGTTAAAGCCATCGGTTCCTTGTCCAATTGGAGAGGATTCCTTCAGCAAGTGTTCAAGAGCACAGAGTCGAGTTGCCGACAAGTTGGGCAGGATGGGCTTACCTTTCTCCCAAGGGTGGGTCGTTGTAGGGTCTGGACTGTTTGTACAGCCTTCTGTTTCCTAGGACCTCTGTGACTAATGAGGTCAGTTTGGTGTATTTTAATGGATTTCAGTTTGGAAGAAGGAAAAAAAAGTCTAATAATTATCACATCACAGGACAACCAACAACCATGCTTTAAATTATCAATCTAATTATGTTCCTAGTGTTTGAAAAGTCTATGCCAAAGTCTTCTTTTCCTTCCCCTTTCTCTCTCCACGTTTTGTTATATAATATATATGTTTTTTTTTTTGTACTACTCTTATCTTTCTTAATCCTCTTCTTTGTTGCCTCTGTTTCCCTGCTGTTGTCATTGTCTTGTTTTTAGTTTTAGTATTCTGGGACATGGATTTTTGTGCTTGGGCATTGAGGAGTGTTCGTGTTCATGTTCTTGTCAGTGGGTTGCTGCTTTTCAGCTACATCTTGGAGTTTGGAACCGATGCCCAACTTTTACCTGAACAAGAAGGTATGTAATGTGAAATTGTGTTCTTGTTGCAGTTCCTACCTTTGAATTCTCAACAGTACAAATTAACCCTTTCAATTTTAAGATCATTTTGTTAACCTTAGTTTAAAAATGAGAAAAATCTTATTTATTATTTTGATTCAGCATTTCTCTCTCCCTTCTCTCTTCTATGTTTATTCTCTTAAATCTCTTCCCCTTCTTGTTCTCTACTGCAACATCAGATAAAATGAGCTCTATCGGATTGGCAGTGTTTGAAGAAAATGAGTTGAACTAGATGGATAGATGACTATTTGAGGAGAGTCGTACTGTGTTCAAAAGAAAACTTATTGAGATATAAACAAAATCCTACATTGACTAGATAATGAAAAGAACAAGTATATAAAGGATGAATACTATCTCTATCAGTACAAGATCTTTAGGGAATCCTCATTTTTTTATAAGTGTATCTATTTACATCATTCGTTAGATTCGTTCTTTCTTTCCATTCTTGGCTGTTCTGGAGCTGGTTGGAATTTAAAATTTTAAGTATATTAAGCAGATGATTTAATTTGGATGTGACAGTGAGAGCCCTTCAAGAAATATCTGCTAAGCTAAAGAACTTAAATTGGAAGGTTCACCAAAATTCTTGCATCAATGGCGACGGCTTTTTCAATGTATTTACCAACTTTACTCATATGAGAGAGGTCAACTGCACTTGTAATACAACTTGCAGAGTCACCAGCATGTAAGAGCTTTCTTTTTTCTTTTTTTATGAATACTAATTCAAAAACACATGCTTTAATTTTACGTGAAAATATTATTTCAATATTTTAAAAAGTTTTTAGAGTAAAATACGACTCGACCATTTGAACTTAGCTTCTATTTAGTCCCTAAATTTTCAAAACTAACTTTTTTGGTACTTAATGGTATGAGTATAGCAACTTGGTAGTTGCCGTGTATTATTTCATTTGAGATGGACAGTTGAAATCTACCATATCTCCACATTTTAGATACTAAAAATAAGCTCAGTCCTAGCTCTTTTCATATTAATATAAGTTAATACTTTCTTTGGATATTTATTACTTCTTTTACTTACCATATTCTCTTTGTTATGACAGACGGCTGAAGGGTTTCAATCTAGTTGGAAATCTACCTGTAGCATTTGCAAATCTAACTCAACTACGAGTGTTGTAAGTGTGCTAGATGTGCCTTTCGTAAAAAATGTTTTTTTTATTATATAATAAGAGTCATGCCAAAAGTTTCACAAGTTACATCATTAAATTTTCCTTGATATCATTACTATTTTTGTTAACAAAATTCGAGCAGGTTAACCTACATGACTTTCACATGACAACAATGGTAAAGTTCGTTTGAGGGGAAGAACATGACCTGCAAAATAAGAAAAATATGCACATAATGTGGGGTTTGTCATACAAGCTCTAGTGAGATTAGCTAGGAAATTTTGAGTGGAGTAAGAAAGTTTTTGGAATAATGAAGAATTTATCTTCTCAAGATTAAAGAATAGTATTTATATGAGAACTCTTCATAGTTTCTTATGTTTTCCTTGAAAATTACCATAAGTATGAGCCCAACAAGATTAAACCAGGAAGCTACGAGGTGGGGGCATGCATTGGGAGTGCCCTTTTAAGAAGCTAACCGTAGGGTTGAGGTTGAGGTTGAGGTTGAGGCGGAGGTGAAGAATTTGGGCTTTCTTATCCTTCACCTTATGACCTGGTTCTTCTATGTTGGCCCAAATTTGTTTTGCGTTGAATTTTTTTCTATTCATCTATGATTATCTTATAATTTGGGTTTGTTCTTATTGTCCAATTTCATCTGTAACATTAGCCCCCACTCCCTAACTGCATTGGGTTTGTTCTTGTGGTCCAATTTCATCTATAACAATTGTAAGTCAAAGCCAGACTCCTTGAGTTGAGGAGAGTCTTACCACGTGAAGTAAGAACCAAGCTCATTTGATAAAGGCTTGGGATCTGAAAATGGGAAACTGATAATCAAAAGGTGTACTAGGTAGGGTGTCTTCCAAAGAACCATAATCATAAGAGGAATAATGTTAATGATTGCAAGCAACGAAGTCGGGGGTCAAGTAAGACATGCGTTGGTCAGAGTGCTAATTGGGCACAACACAAGTCCATATGGGTGGACCATGTCGTTGTGGATAGAGTCATTGAATTAAGCGAGGAAGCCTGAGAGAATGGTTACTTGCCCCATAGAAGTTCTCCAAGAAGTGAATATACGTGTATTCCTTGAGTCATCTCCTCATGCATAAGTGGATGACTTCACAAGAGTTGAGACCAACGTTTGCTTTAGAAGGGAGCACCAGGCTAGATGTGAGTAACACGAAGAATGAAGTTGTGGCAAGACTAGAGAAGAGTCACTGCAGCTTTTGCCACATGAAGGTAGCTCAGCTGAGAAGTTGGCTGAAAGGTAGTGCCAACTTGTATCAAGGGTTGTTTACAAGCTTCCAGACTTCGCTATCATATGGGTTGGTGCCACAATGAGTGAATGTCATGGTTGGCTTGTGAGCCTCTCCTAAAGGATTTATCGTTATGTGTGACTTAGAGAATATGTGTGTTGAGGCCAAGGTGGCCACGTTTGGGGCCGCCTCCCCCCCCCCACCGAGAAAAGAGGGAGGTCGGTGCATTGGGCAATTATTGTTTGTCGTGCTCATGTTGCAAGTCTCGGAGACTGAGGGAAAGTCCGTTAGTGGGATAGCTTATAAGTAGTGCGTAGTTCACGTATTCATTATGAAGCACGATTATTACAAGTGGGTCAGTTAGCAGTCAGTCCGACATTTGGATCATCTTCGGGACTATGCTGAGATTAAGTGAGGGAGAGTGTCACAATTCACAATGCGATTGTACACCCAAGAAAGTCATCAAGGACGATGACTAGTTTAAGTGGAGGAGAGTGTCACAACTATATTAAGAAGAGAGTAGGTTGTGATCCCCATGTGCATATTAAAGATCAAAGCTTACCAAATTTGGTGTCAATAAAACACCCAACAAACGCTCCACAAAGCCATATGATTGCTTGCCAAAATCAAGTATATTCCAGCCAGACAAAAAATGCCTCAAAATTTACTACAGAGGGAAACATGATGTCATCTCTCACCACCCTTGGGCCGTGTGACATAAGTGAGTTATCTCATGGCACATGCGTGTCATGTTGTGGGCGTGCATTGCAAGATGAGTGTTTGGGCATCTTCCTTTGGAAATGAGTTTTCGAGGGCAATGTCAGACAACACAAGTGTGCCAATATTGCAGCCCATCCCTTGAATTGGAGGTTGATATATGGGGTTGCTCTTGGGTACGGTATCCAAAAAAGACTCTGCATGAACATGGGATGACTCATGTCTCAATAGTACCCAGATGGATGGATGTTTGGGATGTCCTAATGATATAGTTGACTCTTGGGTTAGTTCTCAATAAGTGTGACCAAACGAGAAACAAATGTCGATGACATCCCTAGACTTGGGATGACATTACGAAACATAGGTTGTGTTTTTGAGAACCAAGATGAAGAGATGAAATGCGATGTTACATTTGAAGGACCTTAGTCTAGAATAGAGGCAAGGTCAAGCCGAAGGACTTGGCCTAGAGTAAAGGCAAGTTGTCTAGAGTTGCAATGAGTAAACATGCAAACACGGGTAGTGTGAATAGCCGGACAAGCTTAGTTTTTTGCATGAGTTGTGTTTGGGCGGCGAAGGAGAATGATGGCACACGGTTCAAAAAGTAGAACCATGACACATAGCATGTGTCCCCTTGGGAGGCCGAGCAAAGGTCGAGGCCAAGGCAAAGAACTTGGGCTATTTTATGGCCTTATCCTTTTGTGTTGGTCTGAATTTGTTCTGCTTAGGCTTTTTTCTATTAATTTCTTCTCTGATCTTCATTATAATTTGGGTTTGTTCTTATAGTCTAATTTCACCGGTAATATCTATTACGTTTTGCTTAGGACATGAAAAAGTTTTAAGAGGGTTTTGAGTTTGATATTGTAGTGTATTGATTTAAATTTAATTCATGTAAAAACTTTATGGGTTCTCTTCTGAACC